GTCTTTTGTTTCAGGCTCGTTGTAGGGCAAAGGAATTGATTCGTCATACAAACAAGCGAAACAATTTATGGACACGAACGAGGGCACACCAGTCACTCGTCGCGGGGGACAAAATCCTCTCCGGCCATCGACTCCGCAGCCGTTTCCGGCAACGCGGCTGTGTCCGAGTAGCGGGCGATCAACTCCGCTAACATCTCGTCACCGAAGTTGTTGGATTACCTCGTCGAGGATGTCCATTGAGCGAACGTCGGGCGGGGAGGGGGCAATCCCGGGCGAGATGGTTTGGGTCGCCGCACCTGAAGCAGGCGCGACGAGGGGCACCCCGAGCCCTGGTGCGATCCAACTCCATGGGGACGGGAGCTGGAGGCACTGGAGCGGGGGCGCGGGCCGCGGGTGGCACGACCGGAGCCACCGGGCGGAAAGGGGCCGGAGCCGGGATGCGGTTGACCGGAAACGGAGTCCGAATCAAACCGCCAGGCGTCTTGGGGGCGGCTGACTTGATCAGCTTGGCCCGGACCAGGGCCTCGTATTGACGGAAGGCCCGGGTGCGCCAGCTAAGGTAGTCCCGGAGGTCCGGGGGGTCGTTCGAGGACGTGATTCCGTTGTTGATCAGGGGGTCAAGTCCGTGGCGGAACTTGGTCACCTTGACCAACGCGTCTTCAAATCCGGCGAGGTCCATCAGGTCCTCGAAGTCGTCGGTGTACTGGTAGACATCCTTTGTGCCCATGTGATAGGCGGAAGTCTCCAGTTTGGAGAGAGCATGATCTTGCTCATTCTCCTCGACGAACCGGAGTCGAAACTCGAAACGAACGAGCCCCAGGACGGAAACGGAAACGGGGCTTTGCTTCCGTGGCGCTCCGCCCATTGCTGAGCGGGTCCTTCTGCCATAAACGACATGGCATAGCGGACGGCCTTTTCCTCGCTCGCCTCTACGGAAACGGAAACGGGGCTTTGCTTCCGTGGCGCTCCGCCCATTGCTGAGCGGGTCCTTCTGCCATAAACGACATGGCATAGCGGACGGCCTTTTCCTCGCTCGCCTCTCCGTTGACCACGAAGGCCTCAGGGGCAAGGCGGGCGTAGGTGCGGACCGCATAGAGGAACGCGCGGCCGCGTTTCCGATCGCCGTTGAAGGTGAACGGAGGGTTTGGTCGCAAGACCAATTTTGAGGCGAGGTTGATGTCGCCAAAGAGGGCCTCGGAATCGCCCTGAACCGGAGTCGGAGTCGGAATCGACGTCTCCGGCGATGGTGTTTGGGGTCCGCCAGCAGTATTAGCGGCGGCAGCGGCAGCGGAAGCCTGGGTGGTGAGAAGAGTAAGGGCCTCAGTTAGGCGGTCGATTTTCGCCTCGAGTGCATCCAGCCGAGTGTCAGCGTCAGGAGTAGCTCCGGAAGGCATGACAGGTGCGGGGACAACAGGAGTGACAGAGGAGGAGGGGACAAGCGGTAGGGGCGGTGACGAGGGGGAACGGACTCGTATTCCGAGCCTGAGTCAGCGCCGAACCTAGCAATCTTGTCCGGTTGATCCCGTAGAGAGTTTCTTCTGCTGTAAGGGCAACCCCGGAGGCCTGAGATCAAGGTCTAGCAGGGGAGGATCCAAAGCGTGAACATTGGTAAGCAAATACAAATGAAGCTGACCTAGCAGGGGAGGATCCAAAGAGAAGAAACTCTAAGGGTCCGCCTGCTAGGGAGCTGACTATATACTGCTTGTCCGTAGCTGCCGCTGTCGGGCACAGAAGGCTTGGGCGGCGTCGCAGGCAAGGTCCCAGGGCGACCGTTGGGAGGGCGTTGACGGATCGGTGATTGTGCGGGCGAGATGGAGGGCCGGACCGGAGACGGAACCGGAGTCGGACCGGAGTTGGAGGCGTCTCCGAGGGGCCAAAAGGGAGGTTCCCCTGACACTAGAAGCAACAGCTAAGCTATAGCTATACAAGCTGTAGCTAGATATTTAGGAAAGGACTGCCTAAGCTGTAGCTTCTGAATTCAGGCTGTATATTACCACTATGGCTCCCGTAAGCACCGCGAGATCGTCAAGGAGGTCCTTCGGCAACTCCGAATGCACAAGTTGTACCTTCACAAGGAGAAGTGCGACTTCGAGAAATCGTCAATCAAGTACCTGGGGGTCATTATCTCTCACAACCATGTCGAAATGGACCCTGTTAAAGTCGCCGGAGTCTCCGCTTGGCCTCCGCCTGAAAATAAAAAGAACGTCCAGCAGTTTCTGGGGTTTGCTAACTTCTACTGCAGGTTCATTCGGGATTTCTCGGCCCTTGCGCAGCCTCTCTTACCACGGAATACCCGAGAAGTACATTTCGGACCGTGGCTCGCAGTTCATCGCTGACTTCACGCGCGAACTCTGGCGCTTAATTGGCATCAAACCGGCTACCTCTACGGCTTACCACCCGCAAACCGACGGACAAACCGAACACGTTAACCAAGAGCTCGAGCAGTACATCCGGATCTTCACTAACTACCAACAAGACAACTGGGACGAGCTTATCCCTGCCGCTGAGTTCGCCTATAACAACCACGTTCACTCCTCCACTCAACAGGTACCCTTTATGACGGACACTGGTCGGCTCCCCCGAATGGGTTTCAAGCCAGGCGCCCGCTCAGAGTTGGAGTCGGTGAACGAGTTTCGCAATCGGATAGCTAACGGCGTCTCCGAGGCAAAGGCCGCGCTCGTTAAAGCCAAAGACGAGTATAAACGGTACTACGATCGGAAGCATTCGGACGCTCCGAATATTCAAGTTGGTGATAAGGTTTGGCTGGACGCTTCTGACATCAGAACGACTCGGCCCTCCGAGAAGTTCTCCCACAAGCGCCTCGGACCGTTCAAGGTGCTCACAGAGGTTAGCAAAGGTGCCTACAAGCTTGACCTCCCCCCGCGTTACTCCAAGCTCCACCCCGTCTTCCCCGTTGTTAAGCTCGAGCCCGCTCAGGACGACCCCTTCAATGGATGACCCGGCTACAACGAACCGCCCCCCGAGCTAGAGGACAGAGTCCCCGAATGGGAAGTCGAGGAAATCTTGGATGCCAGGATAAGGTATAAGCGTCTTAACTATTTTGTCAGGTGGAAAGGCTATGATGCTTCACATAACTTGTGGGTTCGGTTCGACCGTGTCTTTGCGCCAGACAAGATTGCAGACTTCTATCGGAGATACCCAGGTAAACCACGGCACATCGCCTCAGCGACCTTCGACTCCTTGCCCTTTCGCACAATCACCGATCCGTCAAGACCCTCCCAACAATCACCTTGGGACAGAGCCTGCGACGCTGCTCAGGCCTTCTGCGCTCTACGTCGGCAGTTACGGACGACCAGTATATAGTTAGCGCCCTAGCAGGCGGACCCTTAGAGTTTCTTCTCTTTGGATCCTCCCCTGCTAGGTCGGTCCCTCCGTGTATTTCCGTAGCTTTTATTCACACTTTGGATCCTCCCCTGCTAGGCTTTCGTCGGAGTCTCCAGGGTTGCCCTTACATTATTTCTGAATTTTCCTTGTGTCAAAAACTACCATTTATACAGTGGTTTTATCATAAACCAAATCTATAGATAAATGGAATTAATTTTTCTATTTATCCTCTAACTTTCCTAGAGGGAAAATTCTTAAATCAGCCCAGTGACAAACTAAGATTGTAAGTATGAAATAGTCAAGGCTTGAATTGTTGAAATAATAGATGCTAATTCTATTACTGGAAAACAACTGAGTATTTGTACTGTTCTCAATGTTCTCGTAGATTCTGAAAATAAGTCAAAGGAAACTTGTGGAATATTCCAATATTCCTGATGTGTTGTGCGTTAATGATAGTGCAATTGGTGCTGACATCAGCATCTCGGTGATGACTCGTGTTCGCCGCCACATATCTTCAACACGAATGTCATCACTATGGAAACCATACCACATGAATTTCAGGTAGTCACAGAAATAAGGGGCATCATAATGTGATGATCTGACTGGATGGTGGGTGGTTGGTCACCCTGAGAGGGCTTGAAAATATTTTTTGTAGGTAGTTATATTTTGGTTTTCCTAGGCTACAAAATGGTTGTGTAGATGTAGAATAGCCTTAGAATGCTTGCTCACCTATTGAATAGCCCAGCAATGGGCCTCCGCCGGCGGACAACCTTGGGAGCCTTTTGTAAGCCATTATGCCATCACAGCTTAAAGGGGAAGTGCACGTGCCAGAGCTGTCAAGCTTCTCATTGGTCAGAAGCTGTCATGTCATAAGGACGTATGATGGATCCTCAAGCGGTGGTCCATTCCACCTGCTGCAAATTAGCTGGTACTAACATGTGTGGCTGCTGAGAATGCCGTAAGCAAGTGGAAGCACCATGATTAGACTATGATTATCAGTAAGTAAATATTTCCTTTTATAGTATATCTTATCTTATCTAACGGTCATGTGGTTGGTTGGTTGCCTAGTCAAGGCTTAAAAACAAACAAGTATAAGCGTCCATGCCTGTGGCATGGACTATAGTAATAAAAAAGAATTTGCAGCACTCACATGGTCGCTCGCCTGCGGCTCGCGACTGGTGGGCAGTATCCGAGGGGTGGCACGTTAAATTCATGTGTTTCACATGCGTCTGCATGACTTTCTGTCAATGCCAGCACTGAGCTGTTTTAATATTATAGAAATCGGCATGTGCTTGGCGGCTGGCCTTTCACATCATGATGCCTCCTTGCAAAGAAAGTGAAATTCAACCCAAACCAATATGAATTTCAGGGGAAAAATTAACCATTCCACCCAAAATTCAAATGAAATTCATGCACTCATACTTTTGGAATCTACTCAACAAAATAATATTTTCAATTTCATAGTAAAAATGGAACATTTCATGTCCTTTTTTCACCTTCACATGAAATTCATATGGTTCTCCATTCACAGTGCATCCGAATGGCCCAACACCTGTTGGATTCAATGCTTCGGTGTCGGATGATGCCTGTGGAGACATCATAGCCATGGAGCCGAAGGGTGGTCGCAGGAATCATCAACATAGATACTTAGTCCCATGTTACAATGTACTAGCCACTTGGTGTGTTTGGTCTCGAAGCTGCGGCGATATTAATAAACCCTCACATACTTATATAGCTGGCATTATGTATCAAACTTTCGCGAAGGTCTTTTTTCGTCCCACATGGGCGGCCGGCTGCCGGGGATCACGATGACGTGGCATCAAATCGTCCTTACAACGCTCATGGGCACGTAAACGAGCGAGCCCCTGGCCGCACCACCCATGGCAATTCAAAGCCAGAAGCGCCAGGCCTGCAGGATTTAGCCTTTGATTACCGACACCCGTGGCATTTTGCACGTCGCGACACTCCACGGCCCTGGATTCTGTCACGCTTCTTTTCGTCTTTGTCCTTTGCTCCTCCGACTACAACGAGGCTCACCATGTCCTCCACTGGGCTGGGCCTCTCCGACCCGTCTGCTGCCAGCGCCCAAGCTCGTCGAGCTATGCTGGACCTCGTCAACCGGCTTCAAAACACCGGGTGCGTGGGCCTCGCCCCCTCCTTCGCTGCTGACGCCACCTTCCAGTGTCCAGCTCGACATCGATCTTCCTCGCATCGCAGTCATTGGCAACCAGAGCGCCGGGAAGTCGTCGCTCATCGAGGCCATCTCAGGAATATCGCTTCCGCGGGCCTCGGGGACATGTACTCGGTGAGTCAGACTGCTCGCCAGTGCTGTCCGTCCTTGAAGCCGCTTGTCAGGTGCCCCACCGAGTGCCGCCTCTCGCGCTCTGACGGCCCCTGGAAATGCACCGTCGAGCTGCACCTCACCACGGACAAGAACGGGCTGCCAATTGGCCAAGCCAAGAACATCCCCTTTGGCGCACCCATCCTCGATAAAAAGGACGTAGAAGAGCGCATTCGCCGCGCACAGCGCGCGATCCTCAATCCCAGTCAACCCGCAGAGTCCTTTCTTTCCGATACATCCGACGCCGACCCCGAGATGCATGAAGTCTCCTTCTCGAAAAACTTCATCTCGTTGTCGATTAGCGGCCGCGACCTTGCGGACCTGTCGTTCGTCGACTTGCCGGGTACGCGACAACTCTCTTCTGCTTGTTCTTCGCTCATTCTTGCAGGTCTCATCGCAAGCGTCAGCGATAGTCGCGGAGGCAAGAAGGGCGATATTGCCATGGTCGAAGGCTTGGTAACTTGGTATATTTCTAAACCCAGCTGCGTCATTCTCCTCGCTGTCGCGTGTGAAAGTAAATGATTCCCCCCCGTTTTGAGGGGTTTTGAAGCGCTCATTCGTCCTTCTTCTAGCCGACTTTGAAAACCAACGGGCTCATAACTTGACGAAAGAATGGGATCCCGAAGGCAAGCGCACCGTCGGTATGCCCGTGTCCCTTCCGATCACGTCCTTCCTTTGCTTATAGCGCCTCTGCAGGTGTACTCACAAAGCCCGATCGGTACTACCATATTCATTGACCTTTAGCCAGACCTCATAAACGTTAGAATCCCGCTGGGCGACGAAGGCAACTGGCTCCCGCTCATCCGAAACGAGCGCGAAGCCCTAGTCAACAACTGGTTTTGCGTGAAGCAGCCGGCAAAGCCCGACCTGGACAAGGGGATCACCTGGAAGGAGGCCCGGGAGAGCGAGGACAACTTCTTCGCGCTGACGCCGCCGTGGTCGACGCTGGACCCGCTTTACCAGAAGTATCTCCGCACCCCCAATCTTGTGGAACGACTGGGGTCTATTTTGTCTGATTTGATCTCGAAGCGGTATGGCCTGATCCTCCTTTGGTGCCAGGACGCTGAGCCTGAATATTTCTAGACTCCCCAAGATTCAGGGAGAGCTGGAGCGCGCTATCCAGCAGACCTACGCTAGCCTCCGCGAACTCCCGCGAGCTCCCTCATCGGACCCCGTTGCGGAGGTGGCGGCGATGCTGTCGTCGTTTGTCCAGGACCTCAACAACATGGTGCTCGGTGTGGACATGGGGGACGACAGCACGCCGGGGCTGATCCAGAGCATTCGTCCGGCGCAGGAGAAGTTTCGGAAGGCGATCCAGGGAACGGCGCCAAACTTCAGTCCCCCTCAAACGATCGAAGGAGACGCTAAGTGGTTCAGATGGAAAAATGCCATCCGTCGTTGAAGATGATGACGATGATAGTGATGACTCGGATGACGACGATGATGATGACTCGGACGAAGATACGGAGGGAGAGTCGGTCGACTCGGAAGGTGAGGGTAGTAGTGTCGTATCGGAGGTCGAACCCGAAGGAAGAACCATCTACGTCGACGAAGTCGCGAAGCGCGCCAACGAGCAAGTGCCTTGTGCCTTCTTCCACGTCGCCAACTGATCATTCCGCTAGCGCCCGCGCGCGAGAGCTCCCTGGACACCACCCGTTCCTCGTGCAGGTGTCGTTCATCAAGCAATTCACGTCGAAGTGGGGACAGCCCGCGCACGAGCTGTGCGACACGATCAGCACGATCGTCGGCGACCACATCAAAGCCCTCGCCGCGGACCGGTTCGCGGCATTCGGCCAGGGGGGACTCGGGAGCCGGATCACGCACGTGTGGTTTCACTGCCCCGAATACCTTGTCGCTCATCCCCCCGCCACAGCGTGCTCATGCAGCAGCATCTCACGCAGCGCACGGACGCCGCGCACGCGCTCATCGGCAAGTTCATCGAGCTGGAGATGCCGGCGCCGATGACGCTCAACGCGCATTACCTGGCGGACTACAAGGCGAAGTACCTGGGGCGCTACCGCGCGAGCAGGCGGGCAACAGCGAATTCGCGGCGCTGATACGCGGGCATCGCGCGCAAGCGCCGGAGGCGCCGCCCGGGCCGGCCAGGCCCAAGCCCAAGGGCGCCGGCCTCGACTTCGTGGTCCCCGGGCCGAAGCCCACGATAAGCAGCGTTCTCGGCCAACTGGCGTCCCTGGGCCTGCCCGGGGTCGCCGCCGCCGACCTCGCGAAACTGCTCCCGTCGGACAAGATGGAGCCGGCGCTCGAAATCATGGCGGACGTGCGCGCGTACTTCCAAGTTGCTTACAAACGGGTGTCGGACAACGTCCCCTTGGCGATCGACCACGAGCTCGTGCGCGGGGCCCGGCAGGGACGTGCTCCCGCTGCTCTACGCCGGCCTCGGGATCGGCGGCGCGGCGGGGGCGCGCATCTGCAGCGAGCTGGCGCAGGAGAGCCGCAGCGTGGCGAACAGACGCGCGGCGCTGGGAACGAAGCTGGAGCGCCTCGAGGTCGCACGCAAGGAGTTGGTCAAAATAGAGATGTGATCGAGAGGACAAGTCGGCACTCCTGAAATATATTACACAATATTATGCACATACTAGTATTCAACACAGCGGAAGCAGGAGCAACAGTCAGAACAACAGCAACATAGCAAACGACAACGGGCACGGGCAATCGCAAGGGCAGGCAGCGCGAACGCAGGAGGACAAGAGCTGTCTTGAACTCGTCAGAAACGAACTGCGCTCCCATAATGCGGCAGCACTCACCACGAGGTGGACCGGCCCGGGCGGGGGCGCGGGGGTCCGGATCCGGGGACGGCGTCCGGAGCACCGGTCGGCGGTGGCGGACGCCGAGAATGGCCGACTGGTCGAATCCGAGAGCGAAAGCGACGTGGGAAGCGGGCACCGGTGGTGGGTGGGTGGGTGCCCCGTCGCAAGCGGTAGACGTTCTAGACTCGGAAGCGAGGCACGCGGCGATGTGGGAAACGGGCACCGGGTGGCGGGTGGTGCCCCATCGCGATGCGCGGGGTGGTCGGCGGAAGACGCGCAGGACGAAAGACGAGCATGGCGGGTACCGGGCGGGCGCTGCGGATCACGGGCGGCGTAGGGCGTAGGACAAGGCACGGGCACTGGCACCGCAGGAAGGACGGGGTGGTGCCAGCGCGAGCGCGGGGCCGAAGCATATCGTGGGAGAGCCATGGACGGAGCGCGGGACGTCGAAGAACCGCGGGATAGCGATGGCGAAGGCGAAGGCGAAGGCGAAGCGAAAACGAAGACGAAGCGATGGAGGAGCGCGGGACGACCGGCGGCGAGACCAGAGCAGAGCAGAGCACATAGACGGACAGACGAACAGACGGACAGCAGAAGCGAACCAACAAAGACCAGAACCCCGAAACCCAAAACCCAAAACCCAAAACCCAAAAAAGCACCCGCTCCCTCCCCTAACACCGCGGCACCGGCCCGGACCCAGGCCCGCCGGCGCGCAGCCCGAGCCGCACCGCGAGCCCCTCGAGGTAGCTCTGGCGCGCCGACAGCCTGCCCGGCGCGGGACGCGTGCGCCTACCACCCGTGACGGGCGCCGGCGGGGGCGGCGGCATCATCGGGACCGCCGCCGCATGGTCGTGCGCGTGGCCGGGGGCCGAGCGCGGGCGCGGGCGGTACGCGCCGGTCGCCGGCTTGTAGTACGCCGCAGGCGGGCGCTGCAGCGGGGGCGGGCTGGGCGGCGGGGACGGCGACGGCGACGCAAACGCCATGGACGACACCGAGGACGACAGCGAGTGCGAAGCTGACGAGTGGGAGGACGAGGCAGCCGCGGGGGCCTTGGCCGCCGCGGGGGCCTTGGGGGGCATGGCCACGTCGTACTCCATAGGCGTCGGGACGGGCAGGCGGCGCGGGCGCGGCATGAACAGCGCGGGCACGGCCTGAGAGGCCGCAGGAGGCGAGGCGACAGGGGGGGGCGACAGAGGAACTGTGATAAAGAGTTAGCAAGTGGTACGAAAAGTTTAATGACCGAACGCACGGCCTGGAGAACGCCGGGGCGGCGGGACGCGCGATCGGCGGAGGTGCGGGTGCCGGACCGGGGGCTGGGCGGCGGTAGATCTTCATGATGCGACGCGGCGGGGACGTACGGCCGAGACCGAGGCCAAGACCGAGACCCGGTACGGCGGCGGGCGGAGCGAAGCGGTCCCACAGCGGGGGTGCGGCGCCGGCCTTGTCAGCGGAGCGCGCCGAAGCGACGTCGGACGACGAGCCGGTGGCGCTCGTCGGCACAGAGGACGCGCTGACGCTGGCGCTGGCGTTAGAGCCGTCCCACGGCGAGTCGGACGCGGAGAGGTACACGGAGCCGGAGGACGCGGACGCGGAGCCGGAGCTTGGCGCGCCGGGCCGGCCGGGCACCGCGAGCAGGTTGGCGGGGTCGACGTGGGCGTTCACAGCGACGGGCACGGGGGCCTTGGCGACGGGAACAGGCACGTGCTGCGGCGGGACGGGCCAGTTGTCAAAGTCCAGCGCGCCCGCGAGGTCGACCGACGGCGGCGCGTCCTCGGAGCGGCGGCGCACAAGCGCGGTGTTGAGCGCGAGGCCGGGGTGCGCGCGCGCGCGGACGGGGAGGGCACGTGCGCCGGCGCCGTGGCCGGGGGCGCGGGGCCGGAGAGCGGCGGCGGCGGCGGCGCGGACGGCGAGCCACGCGGCGGAGGCGGTGGACGAGGCGGACGAGGCCGAGGACGCCGAGCTGCCGGTGGCACTCGAGACGACGGCGCAGAGCTGTGCGGCGGGCGCGTGCTGCGGGCGGGGCGTCGCCGTCGTCTCGGACAGCGGCTCCGGGACGTCGTCCAGGGTGAAGCGCTCGATCGCGTTGATCGCGTCGCGCATCTCGGACAGGGACGCGCGGGCACACGGGTTCTCGGCGAGGCAGCGGACGAGGAGCGCGGCGGCGGGAGGCGTGAGGCGGAGGATGCCCTGCAGGACGGCGTCGGGGTCCGCGCGGAACGCGGCGTAGGCGGCATCGGCGGCGTCGGGCGCGCCCCACGGCATGCGCGCCGTCGCCATCCCGATGAACATGACGGACACCGCCCACAGGTCGGCGTTCTCGGCCGACACGCCGTGCACCGCGGCGGGGTGGTTGCGGTCGAGGGACTCTGGCGGGGCGTCAGCACGATAGACAGAAGACAGAGGAAGAAGGCTCACCTGGGGACATATAGGGCCGGGTCCCGCAGCCGAAATCCATGGTGATTTGGCGCTCCGTGGCGAGGCCAAAGTCGGCAATGCGCAGATTCGCGCCGTCCGCGTCGCAGAGGATGTTGTCCGGCTTGAGGTCGCGGTGGTACACGCCGCGGCGGTGCATCGCCTCGACGGCGTCGATGAGCTCGCCCATCGCCCTGCGGATCGCGGCGGGGCGGCGCAGGAACCGTTGGCGCTCGACCATCACGTGGAACAGGTCCGTGGCGGCGAGGTCGAGCACGACGAACACGAGCGCGTCGCGCTCCGCGACGTGGTGCGAGTGCAGCCGGACGACGCGCGGCAGGTCCGAGAGCGCGGCGTGCAGGCGCAGCTCCAGCACCTGCATCTGCGCGCGCGTCACGTGCGGCGGGTACTGCGGCACGCACTTGACCGCGCAGAACCGCGGCTCGCCCGGCCCGGGCGTGAGCCGCCGCCCCTTGTAGACCTTGCCGTACGCGCCGGCGCCGAGGAGCGAGAGGAGCTGGATGCCCCCCTGGATGATTGAACCAGTCAAGTCAGGAAGGGCGGCAGAGGGTGGTGCAGGAGACATAGCAGCAACAGCAAGAGGTTGAGGTTAGAAATTAGAAGTTAAAAGTTTGAGACGCAAGAAGTGTGTGGCAGAAGAGCAGAGGGTCGCCAGACACAGGTGGGGCCCTCCCTGCGGCCGGCCGGGCTTAAGTAGCCCTGCCCGCTTCCGCACTGAGACCTTCCGCGCACAGAGAATGATGTTTCGCGTGTCTCGCCGCACGCATGGCACAGGGGCCGGCCGTCCTTCGCCCGAGACGCCCCGATCATCGATGAGACGTCGCCCGCGAAACGGCGTAAGCTGGCCTGGCACAGTTTTGTCGCCCGTGTCCGCCAACTGCAGCGGGCACCACCGTCGTGCTGACGACGAAGGCGGGCGATGCGAGCGGTGGTCCACAAAGATCGGTATCAGACAGGTCACACCCGTCACTTCTCACGAGACAGTGTCACATATGTGACGAGAGAAATCAAGTGCCGAAGGGTTAGCCCCCGCTCGGCAGCCGGCTCCTGTTAGGGCTGATGCTGTTGGTAACCAAGGCCCAAGATAAGTCCCCAAAAGGAAAGATGAAAAGAGAAAGAGCTTACCTAATAATAATAACCTATGTGGCAACAGAACTGAGTTAAGTATGGGCAGCTCAACTGGTTAGTGAGCCCGAGGGTAAAATCCAAGCATAGTCAACAGAAAAAAAAAGCAAAATCCCAGAAAAATTAGTCTATAAAGCTCTAGTCCACACCCACACACTCAGAGAAATAGAACCAGAAAAGAGACAAACACTGATGCACTGTGAACGAGCTCGAGAGTATGAGCTAAACCATAAATGGTAAGCCACACAGCTCCTAGTTCAACAACTAATAAAACATAAGGGGCAGTCCATATAAAGTAGTGACCTGCAGGGCCGGGCTTATCAGGGCTCGGGGCCCGGGCTTCGTACCGCAACAGGCCTTGTATCTCTCGACTGCGATTCCTGGAGTGCCAGGGGTATTGGGATATCTACTAGGACCCTGTACTGAAATTGGTTGGGGTTATGGCATGTGTTATAGAAGGTAGCTAAAGAGAGGGTAGGTACCTATAAAGCAGAAGAGAGTGTCTTCGCTATTACAACTGGTCAGAAAATAATTTCAAGTATGATCCAAGACTTGATTGTAGGATGGTATACACCTTCCCATTGACCTGTCCAGCACTTGAATCAACCTCATAGCTACGATGGATCTCTCACAGTAGCATTATCAGTGTTATCTATTCCAAAAATGATGGGTTCACCATGGTATGGCCTGTGGAAGTCTGAGAGATTTCGGTATATTCAATGGTAGGGGTATGATCCACCTCCCATAAAGTGGTGCCCCTGCCTCTCTGGCATATCTCCATCCTGGGTTATGTGGCACCTAAGGTCTGCAGCAATTGACTCACCTTAACACATGCTACAGCATCACTAATGGGTGGGATTATAATGGACTATCCTGTGATATCATATCAATTTAAATCATGAGATTCCATGCATAGGGTCCCAAGATATCAGCAAAATACTCCTTAACTTAGTGTTTACACATGCTTAGCACTAAATAGATCAAGGTAATAGGTTATAGATGATATGGAACATTGGGCTAGATAGGAGTAGGATAATATACCTTTCAAATGAGCCTTTCTCCAGCTTTATCCACTGAGGCCAGCTGGAGATCTAAGCCTATCTTCCAAAGTTGATGGAAATCAAATGTTACTGATGAGAGAATGCATTGTGTTTTCAGTGCCCAATTCGGTTGGGATTGGAAGTAGACATAGTCAAACATTGGCTTAGGGTATCTGAAGGTTCAAGTCAGCAGTCTTATCACTTTAAGCACCCACATATCCTCCCTCATATGAATAAATGGTCCGTAGAGTGATTGTATCATATGATAGTGATTAAATGTTATGTTCAAGTAATGATACTCTGAAAGGCCTTCCTGGTAGTACTGAAATCATGTATTTATATCAAGTGGTTATAGAAATAGAAGCCCATCAGTTGAACATCAGCTAGTGATTAGACAGTTCTGATACTACTATTCAGCTGCCACTATACATCACTTAATGAAAGTTGTTTGCATAGTCAAAATAGAGAACTGTCATTTTGTGACAATTTGTGACATTCTGCAATGATTGTGGAAATTTCCTTTTTTGGAAACTTCTTATATGTATCACTCTATACAGTATATAATCATATAACATAGCCACTAAAACTACCAACTCCAATCTCTATTGACGAAAGTTCCTTTTTAGGATGCTGTGTTACCTGTCACATAGTGTGCCTCCGGGAGACTTGGTCTGGATGACCTATATTGTATTATTCACCTTTATTCACCCCTTACATACTGGACTTAGAGCTCAACTTTATTCACCCCTCTCCCCAGCAATTATTCACCTCAGGGGATGTTCTGAAAATGCTGAGCCTTGTCAATGGCACCCCGGCGGGTTACCACTGATAACTCACAGTGTTTTGTGGGCTAAACAGGTGGGTTGCGGAAACACAACCCAGAGATCAATTGGGAAACTAAGGAGGTCAAGATGACACGGTGTCCCCGCAATTGCTCGACATGCCGCGAGGAGGAGCGTGTCGAACGGACCGAGTTGCGGCGACTCCGGTCGCTTCAGAAACGTCTCCGCTCCGGCCCGTTCCCCTCGGTTTGCACTATGGACCTCTCTGGCCCCGAGGACGGAGACGATTCCGACTCCGGTCTCGATTCCGACCTGCCTGATCTGACACCGGACTCGGACTCGGACGACGAGGATGACCAGCTCGAAGATGGTGACCGCATCTTCTATACCTCGTTTCGTCCCTCAGAGGAGATACGCGCAGGTAGCACCGTCTCGCAGTGCCTGGCCGCAGCCTTTGCCAGGAACTCTGCCCCTCTGCCCTCCGAGATCCCGGACTGGGCTAAGGAGTTCCAGGACGTCTTCAACAAGGAGTCCTTCGATACGCTACCGGAACGGAGAGCCTGGGACCACGCCATTGAACTCGTCCCCGACGCTAAGCCCACCAACTGCAAGGTGTACCCCATCTCGCCCCTCGACGTGTTCATCGAGGAAGGGCTTTCGACGGGCCGGATTCGCCCCTCCAAGTCTCCAATGGCGTCTCCGGTCTTCTTCATCAAGAAGAAGGATGGTGGACTCCGCTTCGTCCAGGACTACCATGCTCTTAACGCGATGACTGTCAAAAACCGGTACCCCCTTCCGCTGATCAACGACCTCATCAACTGGCTCAAAGGCGCCCGTTACTTCACCAAACTCGACGTCCGTTGGGGCTTCAACAACGTCCGGATCAAGGAAGGTGACGAGTGGAAAGCGGCTTTCCGGACTAACCGAGGCCTGTTCGAGCCTTTGGTGATGTATTTCGGCCTGACAAACTCTCCCGCGACGTTCCAAACGATGATGAATGACATTTTCCAGGACCTCATCCTCTCCGGAGACATCATGATCTACCTTGGCAACATCCTGATCGCCCATTCCGACCTCCGGAAACACTGGCAGATTGTTTAGGAGGTCTTGCGGCGACTCCGAGAGCACAAGTTGTACCTCCGAGCGGAGAAGTGCGACTTTGAAAAATCGTCAATCGAGTACCTCGGAGTCATCATCTCCCATAACCACGTCGAAATGGACCCCGTCAAGGTCGCAGGCGTCTCCGCTTGGCCGACTCCGGAAAACAAGAAGGACATTCAGCAGTTCCTTGAGTTCGCTAATTTCTACCGCAGGTTCATTCGGGACTTCTCGACCCTTGCGCGCCCTCTTTTCGTGCTCACCAAGAAGGACCAGCAGTGGACTTGGGGCGACGCGGAGGCCTCCGCGTTCCAAGCGATCAAGGACGCGGTCACCTCGGAACCGGTCCTGGCGATTCCGGACGACGCACGGCCTTTCCGACTCGAGGCGGACAGCTCTGATTATGCGACGGGGCGGTTCTTTCACAATCCGCCCCGGACGGGAAGTGGCACCCTGTAGCATTCTATTCCAAAAGCTTAAATGATGTCCAGCGCAACTACGAAATCCACGACAAGGAGATGCTCGCGATCATCCGCGCACTCGAGGAGTATAGACATTTCCTCGAGGGCGCCGCACCCTGTCGAGATTTGGACTGACCATAAGAATTTGGAGTACTTCAGGAAGACGCAGCACCTCAACCGGAGACAGGCCCGGTGGTCCCTGTACCTCTCCCGGTTCGATTTCACGCTGCACCACAAGCCTGGCCGCGACATGGGTCGACCTGACGCCCTCTCCCGGAGACCTGACCACGGAGTCGATTCCGACAACTCCGATGTCGTCCTTCTGCGGCCTGAACTCTTCCACGTCCGCGCACTCGAGGGCGTTTCCGTTTCCGGTCCCGGCTCTGAACTCCTCCGCGATATCCGCGATGCCCTCTCCGGTGAGCCTGACCTGGAGGAGCCCGTCGCACTAGCGGCCCGGCAACTTCTTAAGGTCCAAGGTCAAGCTCGAGGCCCCCGCTCCTCGCGGTCTGATGAGTGGGCCGTCTCCGGCGGTCTTCTCCATTTCCGAGGAAAGATCGTTGTACCAAAGGACAAGGACCTCCGGAGACGCATCATCGAGCTCTGCCATGACACCCGAGTCGCCGGACACGCAGGTCGTTTCAAGACCTTGGAGTTGGTCTCCCGGAACTACTGGTGGCCTCAGATGTCTCGCCATATCGGCTGGTATGTTGCGACCTGTGACTTGTGCTGTCGCACCAAGGCACTCCGGAGACTGCCCCACGGAGAGCTGCACCCCACAGAAACGCCCCCGGAACGCTGGCATACCGTCTCCGTCGACTTCATCGTAGAGCTTCCCGAAGCCCATGGGTACGACGCAATCATGGTCGTCGTTGACACCCTCAGAAAGCACGCCCACTTCTCGGAGTGTCATACGACGGTCGATGCAGTAGGGGCAGCCCGCCTTTACTACCGGAAAGTCTGGCAGCACCATGGGACTCCGGAGAAGTACGTCTCCGACCGCGGCTTGCAGTTCATCGCGGACTTCACCCGAGAACTCTGGCGCCTAATCGGCATCAAGCCTGCCACGTCCACCGCATACCACCCGCAGACAGACGGTCAGACAGAGCGCGTCAACCAGGAGTTGGAGCAGTACTTGCGGATCTTCACCAACTATCAGCAGGACGACTGGGATGAGCTGATTCCGGCCGCGGAGTTCGCCTACAACAACCATGTTCACTCCTCCACGCAGCAGGTCCCCTTCATGACGGACACGGGACGGCTCCCGCGCATGGGCTTCGAACCCGGAGTCCGTTCCGCCATGGAGTCGGTGAACGAGTTCCGTGACCGGATCGCCACTGGTGTTGCTGAAGCCAAGGCCGCACTCACTAAGGCCAAAGAGGAGTACAAGCGCTACTACGACCGGAGACGCACTCCGTCTCCGGAGTTTAAAGTTGGCGACCGTGTTTGGCTGGATGCCTCTGACATCAGGACGACTCGCCCCTCGGAAAAGTTCTCCCATCGCCGCCTTGGACCGTTCAAGATAGTCGCGGAGATCAGCAAAGGTGCCTACAAGCTCGACCTCCCTCCGCGCTACTCGAAGCTCCACCCAGTCTTCCCCGTCGTCAAGCTCGAGCTCGCCCAGGACGACGACCCCTTCGACGGACGCCCCGGCTACGACCAGCCCCCTCCGGACCTCGAGGACGGAGTCCCGGAGTGGGAAGTAGAGGAAATCTTGGACGCAAGGGTGAGGTATAAACGGCTGAACTACTTCGTCAGATGGAAAGGCTACGACGCATCGCACGACCAGTGGGTCCGCTTCGACCGCGTCTTCGCCCCGGAGAAAATTGCGGAGTTCTATCGTAAGTACCCTGGCAAGCCACGACACATCGCCTCCGCAACCTTCGACTTGATTCCGTTCCGGTCTATGCGTCGAGACGCAGCTCCTATAGTCAGATCTATGCATAAGATATGGGTGGTGTCCAGGGAATATTATGCATAAGATATAGGTCCAGCTATTTGTAATATATAACAGCCCTTGAATTTATTATTATTAGACTACCTGAGAGGGTTATCAGTGATGGAGTGATGGCATCTAGATATATACCTTGATGTGGAAGCATTTTTGATTGGCATCAGTGATTCTGATGGCTATATAGAGATCCATCAATTTCATCCCAATTAGGATGATAATCTCTTTTCCCTATCACACAGTCTCCCTAACTACATACCGGGTCATCGGCCTGAAGAAATAGGACTTAAGGATATTATATATGATATTACATAAGTGATATCTGTCAATCCTGTTGTGTAATATCAGTTTTGATCTCCTGTCACAATTCCTGTCACAAGTCTCAGTTATAGGTCTCTGGTAGAACACCCATATCTTATGGATAGCTTTCTGTGGACCTCACCAGCATTTTATGCATAGATCTAGCCATAGAGGGTGCGAGACGCCGCATTCAAACGGGGGGGGTGATGTCAGGGGAACCTCCCTTTCGGCCCGGAGACGCGCCCGATTCCGGTCCGACTCCGGTTCCGACTCCGGTCCGGCCCTCCATCTCGCCCGCAGTGCGCACAATCACCGATCCGTCAACGCCCTCCCGACGGTCACCCTGGGACCTCGCCTGCGACGCCGCCCAAGCCTTCTGTGCCCGACAGCGGCAGCTACGGACAAGCAGTATATAGTCAGCTCCCTAGCAGGCGGACCCTCAGAGTTTCTTCTCTTTGGATCCTCCCCTGCTAGGACCTTGATCTCAGGCCTCCGGGGTTGCCCTTACAGAAAGTGGATATTCTCCTAATAATTATCTTAACTGTTTCTTTCATCTATAGCCCCTAACCTTTAGTTATACTGGGTCCTGGAATTATAATCCTCAGCACTCCACTCAAATGTTTTTAGAAAGTATCTTGTTACCTAGCACAATCCTTAATACACTTTTTAAGCTCTATTCTATGTAACGAGTTGACTCTTCTATTATAAACCATGTATGCCAACAATATTGCTTAGAACAAGAGCTAAAAAGGCTACATCCTAGGTCTAGCTTCTACTCTCGACACCACCTTTCCACCAAAGAACAGCAATTCCTTTATAAAAAAGCAAATGAGAGAACAAAGAAACTCACCACCAAATATTTTATAAGTAGTAAGCCACAGTTATCTTATCTTTTAGCTTGAACGCATAGGTGGCAGTTGTGCGGCCCGGAGGTTACTCCTTGGGTTACATACTTGTTTACGCGGGCATTATTTACTTGCATGCCCACGAGCCTTTGACGAGCGTTGTAGGGACGATTTGATGCCGCGTCATCGTGATCCCGGCAGCCGGCCGGTAATTCGGATAAGACCACGTGCACAAACGTGACAGCGCTGATCTTCTCGTTTTTTCCCCGCCCACGATGTGGACCGGCAACCTGTCCGCACTCCTCGTCGGCCTCTCTGTCCTTCTTACCGTTCGTCGGTGCCTCTCAGCGCGCTCCCGACGCCTGCCTCGCTCGACCGAACGCGTGCTCATTATCGGCGCGTCATCGGGGATCGGACGCACATTGGCGGTGGAATATGCGCGTCTGGGAGTCCACGGCGTTTGTGTCGTTGGCAGGCGGGTGGAGATGCTGGAAGAAGTCGTGGAAGAGTGTAAATCCCATGCACACAGCTCGCTGAAGAAGACGGAGGTGCTGGCGCTGGCGGGGGACTTTGCGGAAGTGGGGGACATGGTCAGGGTGAGGAATGAGCTGCAGTCTAGTGCGTCCGACGTTTGCCGCCCGTGGATAGGGCTGACAAATGGACAGGATGGGGCGGTATCGACACGGTGGTCGTGGCGGCTGGGGTTTCGGCTCTTCGTCCACTCCTCGACATTGTCAAGGACAAACCCGGAGACGATGGTATACAGCACCTTGTGGATGTCTCTGCCCGTGCGACAAGAGGAAACTTCGTTGGCCCCTTGGTTGCTGCGGCCACGTTTGTGCGTTGGCCAATGTCGTCCTTCTATACCAAACCTTATTTCTCTTCCAGATTCCCCTGCTGGAATCAAGCTCTCCGCATCCTTCCATCCTCCTCGTCAACTCTCTCGCATCCGCCATCCCCGCGCCCACACGTGCACTATACGCTTCCACCAAAGCCGCGTCTCTGCATCTATATCAAGCCCTCGCGATCGAGCACCCCAAGATCGCATTCACCCAATTCCTCCCCAGCACTGTTGAGGGCGACTTCCGGGCTTCGGCAGTTGACGGCGGAGCAGCGAACGTGCGCGAGGCCGACCCAAACAAGCACGGATTGAAGCGCATCCCCGTTGCCCGGCGGTGTATCCAGGCAATCGAGCATCGCGAGAAGCATGTGTTCATGCCATGGTCCATGGGACCGAGCCATCTCATTTTCTGGTTGTGGCCCGCATTTGTGGAATGGCGCGCAAGCGTCAAGTATCGGTTTACGCCGCCGCAGCGGACGTAGGGTATCTATAGGTCGGTACAGAAGATACAGGTTTTAGTACATCCCAGGTTAAAATGATTCTCTAGTTCCCAAAGTTCTAAGAGTTGGCGACAGCGAATGTGAGTGCGCTGGCGGCTACCGCGCCGGCGCCGACTGCGAGTGGCATTTGTCTTGCAGTCTGGGCATGTCTCCTCGTTGAGTCTGAGGAGGTCTAGGAAAGCAAACAAGTTAGTTTTTTTTGGCCACGGAGGCAATTTTATGACTACTCACTCTAGACGGCTCCACCAACCCACTCAGCGGTCTGCGCTCGTATGAATGTCTCCCTGAATACGCCGGTCCGTCGAAAAGCGACATGACAGCATGGGAGCCGATGGTATGTCCACCCGAGGCCTGTTCATGGCTCTGCATTACGGGTTTCCGGTGCGCTGGTCCGGCAAATACGAGCGGGGCAGGGAGCGATGTTGGGAGGGCCCCAGGAGGAGAGCGGGGTACGGGCGTGCGTGCGCGCTGGCGCGTCATCTGGAGGGCGTGGGGGACGTCGAAGATGTCGACTGGCGCGGCTGTGACTGTGGCCCGTGCCGGACTCGTCGCGCTGATGCTCGCGCGGCGCTGCTGCTGGCGCGACAGCACTTTGCTCCCGGCCTTCTTCAGGTTCGTCGAGGCCGCGGGGGGAGTACATCGTCGTCGCCTGGGTCTGAGTGGGTGTGACAGTGGTGGCAACACGGACAATGGTGCACAAAGCATGTGGGCTCTTATACCCGGTTAACACTTTACCTGACTAACCGAGTTCGCGTAGCCAAGCCACGCCAAGCCTTTGCCCCACTCAATCGCCACCACTGGTGGGCAGCGAAGCAGCGAGCTTGGGCTGCTTCACGCTGCTTCTCAGCCGGGAAATGTGCGACGGGGACGTCGATGTGGAGCGCGAAGCCTGGTGGCTGTCATCGTTGGCTTGCGAACGTACGCAATGCCAAGACACCGTTGACGATAGAAATATTAAGGTTGCTGTGGGTAGGAAAACGATGCTGAGTGTCCGTGGAGATAGTCGCTTACCCTTTTCTTCAGAGCCTAGACGTCGAGGGCGGAGGCACAGGCACTCAAGCAACCTGTGAATAGCTACTCGGTGGCGTGCCCACGGACCCTAGCCCGAGCCCGGGCTGCGGGGATAGAAGTCACCGAGGTTATCGTCACCTTGGCTGCCTTTCTGACGGTCGCGGGCGCTCCGTCAAGGCTTGGCCCATCATGCAAGCTCCCTGCCTTCGTGCATCAAAGTAACCCGGAAACGAGGATGTGTGGAACGGCATGGTCGGAGATAAGATAAGATAAGATACCGGGTGAGATAAGATAATTTTAGCACAGACCGTGGAACTAAGTTTGTTTGGTTTTCTCAGATACCCGCAACTATAATTGATGGTGAGTATCCCGTCGAAGAGACTCGCATTTACTGTCACTGAAACTCCCCGCCCAGGAGTGATCTTCCACGGTGGTGGATACGATGGACAGCGTCGAGCCGATATTCACGGGCGGAGTCAAGTTCAGCCAATTACCAGGCACGAATGGCCTTTGTTGCCACAGAGCATTTAACGGGAATCTCCGCTCCACAGTGTGGCCCAGGCAACAACGACTGCAATTCCACTCCAGTCCTCACGCTGTTGCCGCGGCAGCACTACCAGCCGGATCTACCGTCGCCCCATGCCTTGTGCATCAGGATGACTCTGGCTGCTGATCGTCGCCAGACACAAACCGCATTCGAGTTGAACATTGATATTCGCGCTGTCATCCGAGCACTGTTTCGCACCGGTTGGTTCTCCGGGTATATCGCTAACGCACCTGTTCAGGCAGCACTGTTCCTGCAGTTGGCAGACGGACAGGACATACACAACACTCAGCGGCCATCATCGGCGCCGAATCTTGCCTCCGGGCTACGATGGGAAATGCATCAAACGAAATCATTAGCCTCAAGCGTTGAATTTACTGGAAGGATAAAAGGGCGAGTGGGTGCGGGTAGCCTCTCCAGCGACTTCGCAACCTCTCTCTCTTCTCCCTCCTATCGTTATCCGCTTCCCTTCGTTCGCCTTCGAAGATGCCTGGATTTTTGCCTTATGCGTTGCCGCGGTCCGCTCTGGGGCCAGTTTCGTGCACTGTGCCCCGGCAGCGAGTGCAAGTGCGGCCCCCGCAGCGGCCACGGCAGCAGCCCAGGTCGTGTGTCCCGATGGGACGCGTGTCGGCCATGCGGAATGCTGCCCTTTCGTTCCAGTAAGCAGACGATGCTTGCACTTTGCTATGCTCTTGCTGACCTGTCCTCAGCTCGCCCAAGATTTACAGAAGAATCTCTTCGAGAACGAGTGCGGCGAGGATGCGCACGAGGTCTTCCGCTTGACCTTCCGTATGTCCTATATCCTCTTGATAGTATGCTCAGCGTGTTGACAACTGTTGCACAGATGACGCTATTACGATTAGCCAGAAGTCGCCCTCCGCTGGCGGGGGTGCCGACGGGAGCTTTCTGTTATTCCCGGACCAGGAGCCCAACTTCCCCGGCAACGAGGGCACCGATGACAGTGTGCAGGCACTGCTGCCGTTCCTCCAGCGGCACAACGTCACTGCGGGTGATCTCATCCAGTTCGCCGGCGCCGTTGCAATTGGGAACTGTCCAGTAAACTATCCGTGTTGCGCATCATGTTCGTTGCTCACAATAATAGGGTGCGCCGAGACTCGAGTTCCTCGCCGGCCGGCCGAACGCCAAGCGGCTCCCGGCCCGTAACTTGATCCCGGTTAGTAGTTGTTGTCGCGAAGCTTCCTGGTGGGCGTTGATTGACGCGTGTCCAGCTGCCCTCCGACTCTGTGGACCGCATCCTCTCGCGCTTCGCCGACGCAGGCAACTTTTCGCCGTTCGAGGTTGTGTCGCTGCTCGCCTCGCACTCCATCGCCCGTGCGGACCATGTCGATCCGAAGATCCAGGCCGCGCCGTTCGACAGCACGCCCTTTACATTCGACACGCAGGTCTACCTCGAGGTGCTCCTGCACGGCACCGGCTTCCCCGGCTCGAAGAACAACTCGGGCGAGGTCAAGAGCCCGCTGCCGCTCGGCAATCTCGCGATCAACGGCGGCAAGGGCAACGACACCGGCGAGATGCGGCTCCAGAGCGACTTTGCGATCTCGAGAGACCCGCGCACGGCGTGCTTCTGGCAGGGCTTCGTCAGTGCGTTTTTTCTCTTCTTTCGACGGCCCATCGGAACAGACTGAGATGCCGCTTGTAGACCAACAGACGTTCATGGCAAACAGCTTCAAGGCGGCGATGTCCAAGCTGGCGGTCCTGGGCAACGACCGCGCGAAGCTGGTCGATTGCTCTGATGTCGTGCCCAAGCCGGTGACTACGCGCGTCAAGCCCGCGAGGTTCGCAAAACCTTTTCAACCCTCACGCGAGCCTCAATGCTGATGTCAAACACATAGCTTCCCTGCTACCAAATCTTCCAAAGACCTCGAACTGGTTTGTGCCAGCCCCTTCCCTTCCCTGTCCATCGATGGTATTCCTCTCATTCATTGAATAAGCATTGGCTAATCTGCACCGCAGCTGGTCCGAGGGAGACGCTCATTCCCCATTGCCCTGACGGCAGCCAGAACTGTCCCTAAATAATTTATTACTCCTGCACTGGTAATGAAGTTGTTGTGTTCCTTGTTTATGGATATAATCGTAATAAATTTAATGATATCTGTTGCTTGTTTGTCTTCAAGTTTTGCTTCTGAGTGCACGGTCATCAATCAGTAATGTTGACACTGGCATTGTTGGTCGAAACAGCGGGAACAGAATGTTCATGCATACAAAGGACATTTTTTGTGAAACAAGATGCAATCATCAATGTTAAACTTGAATGTCATCATGATTTGAAACAACATCTTCCACTTTTGTAGTTACTAGTGCTAGCTTACAACCTTTTAATTTTTACTGCTTCTGAAGATGTTCTAGTTCGTCGGATTGTGCCTTAGCACTGTAGGCATACCTCAAGGTGTGGGTCTCTAATGATGAGAATTTGGTGTCTAGGGATACTTATACCAGAGTACTGGCAGCTTTGGTAAATCTATACTGAAGTGCCGTTGCCTTCGAGTCAGAACACAAAACTAAAAGTTGTCAACACGTCAGGATCCGGAGGCATGGCATCATAATCAGCCAAAGTGCAGGATGCATAGCTCCCTCACTCCGTTCGATTCCTACGGAGCAGATGCCAGTGGTTAACATCGCGATCATGAAACGAAGTCGAGAGCGTACATACCCTCTCCCCCAGGATACAGTTGTTTGTCATGTGCACGCCGTACCAATCGAAGGTCTCTTTGGAGACAATGTCAAGATACGGAAGCCTCCAATTAGCCCCACAGGTGACACCGTCGAACGCGCTGTGCGGCCTACTTAGCCCCACCTCGTCGAAGGGCACGCGAATTGTGGCGGTGTCGGTTTCTATGAGATTCAGATCGGAGTCTGTTGAATATTATTTATTCCTTACAACTCGTTCCATTGACTCCGAGTAGTGCTGGCCAAATATGATTATATTATTTTATGGGCATAATATATTATAATCATATCATATTCAGAGCTCCAACACAATAATATATTTGGAGTATAGTATAATCATATTCAGCTGCAAAATAGGAATATGTTATGAATATATTCAACTATAATCTAGTATGTATATCTCTTCATATATTTGACATATTTACTGCTAGAAAGAAATTCAAAACATAAGATACATGCTGGATTGTCAGGGCAACTTCCTATTAAGCCTCTCTAATTCCAACCTTGGCGACATAGGACTCTCAAAATACAATCAGGTGCATTGCCACTAGTATTAGGTTGGCCCATAGACACTTGGTCAGGGGTTCTACACTACGTTTAATAGGGTCAACCCAAATGTATCACTCCTGACACTTGTTCCTAATGGGTGTAATGTATGAATCACCATAGATAATAGATAATAGATAATGAGTGACATTTATCAGAAGTAGGCCTAACTCAGACTAAGATTAGTACTATAACTGAGTACATGGACTGAGAAAATAGCTGGGATCACCCCTCTTACTATATTTGAATATTCTGTAACTATAATATAGTATAGTCATAATATAATATAATATATTCAAGCATACTCATATTCAAGTGATCTACCAAGGGCATAATATATTCAATATTTAATCAACCATAATATAATTCTGGCCAGCACTAGCTCCGAGTCCCGACGCTCATTTCTTCCTACTGTCACGCGTCACATTCCTCAGTCGTTATCCTCCTACGACTGAGGTATGTGCTCTATGTCGAGTCTATTCTGTACACTACTAATCTAGCTACTAGTTGGTACTCATTATATTCCAATAGGTAGCTAATAGAGTCGTTATCCTCCTACGACTGAGTTGGTACTCATTATATTCCAATAGAGTCATGGAGCTGTTTGCGGACCTGCAGCTCCTATAGTCAGATCTATGCATAAGATATGGGTGGTGTCCAGGGAATATTATGCATAAGATATGGGTCCAGCTATTTGTAATATATAACAGCCCTTGAATTTATTATTATTAGACTACCTGAGAGGGTTATCAGTGATGGAGTGATGTCATCCTGATGGCTATATAGAGATCCATCAATTTCATCCCAATTAGGATGATAATCTCTTTTCCCTATCACACAGTCCCCCTAACTACATACCGGGTCATCGGCCTGAAGAAATAGGACTTAAGGATATTATATATGATATTACATAAGTGATATCTGTCAATCCTGTTGTGTAATATCAGTTTTGATCTCCTGTCACAATTCCTGTCACAAGTCTCACTTAGAGGTCTCTGGTGGAACACCCATATCTTATGGATAGCTTTCTGTGGACCTCACCAGCATTTTATGCATAGATCTAGCCATAGAGGGTGGGACCTGTGCAACGCTGGCGCTGTTGAAGTCGAAGATACGCAGGTGCGTCGGGTCCTCCTCATCGGTGCCCTCGATAGGGGTGCCGACACGGTCCGAGACTGACAACGCGGCGAAGCGCATACCCGTGCAGCTCGTCGGGAAATAGTTTACGAGCCTGAGCCCAATCTGCGACGCCTCAATCCAGACGGACGCATGCAAACCCCAGTACGCGAATGGTACTTTCATGGGCACCCCGTTGGTCTTCGCAGCACGGGAAGTGAAGTCGAAGCAGTCCAGAAGAAGCTTGCGGCTAACGAAGACGACGGTCTGCGAGACCTCAGTTGTGTCTATATCTACCATGAGGGTGTCGAAGGTGAATATCAGCATAGACTGCTCGGGGAGGGGCCGGAACGCCGTCCTGCTTTTTACGTCCCTTGGCGCCACTGTTCGGCAGTCCGCGGCAGTCGAATGAGTCCCACAGAAGCTCATGGAAGTCGCGCAGTTTGGGAAGGCAGAGGGAGAGTTTCCACTCGAAGTCCTCTGGCGCAAACGAGAATGCGTCGAGGGAGTGGGTGTGCACGTTAGGCACAAGTATCAGTGTCTCGTGCATGAACGCAAAGCTCGTCACTCCGCACGGGATGGCTTCCTGACACACACGTCAGTATCGTGAGGCGTTAGCGAAAGACGAACCGTGATAGTTTTACCGGTCGGCCAGTGGAATAGATGCAGTAAATCGTTCTCCTCATTCGGCTCCAAGCCGAATACGAAACAGAACGCGATTCCAAGCGTCGTGCCCGCAACGCCAACCGAGACTTCAGGGATTCCAAAGCGCGCCGGTATCCTTGCCACATCCATTGACTTTACCATCCCTTGATCAACTCTACCAGTCGATAATCGGCGCAGATGCGCTGTCACAGTGTTTTCTTCTACATTTACTGCTGAGCTATCCAATGTAAACAGACCGTTGAAACAAGAATGATGGACATACGGTGCAAATGTGACAACCACGAAGAGGTCGCAATCCGAGACCACATAAATGTCGAGTATAGGCTGCGTGATGTCCTCAGGTTCTTGCCAGGCCGGTTCGAACTCGTCGTCTTTGCCGCGAGGATAGATGTATTTGACGTGGTCGCAGAGCATGGGTTCTAGTAAGCCATCACGAGCGCCGTACGCAAGCGCAAAGCAGTCCTCGCCGACATCGTATAGCCCGTCATCATTCCCGTTGTTCAGCGCCACTACCGCACGACGCGCGTCGTGCTAATTGTCCGCCACCGCTCCTCGCGCTCCTTCAAGGCCTTTCTCTGCAGGAACAGCGGCATAGCGCTGCCTTGACTCGTTTCGACCAACCCAAACTTTTCCTGCTCAACGCGGAACTGGATTGTGGGCGAAGCCAGGATGAGCGTGCTCAAGACACGGTTTCGCAGGTCCAAACACGACGCGATGTCCCCGAGAGGTAGATAGAGCAAACAAGCGAGGAGTATCTCTGCTGGAAGGTCAAGCAGATGCAGTGGCATTGTGGTTGGTGTCAAAGAAGGAATTCTTTTTTCTCACGTCAACATTTTGATATGACGTGTGTAAAGGGTCACATGACAGAAGAAACCTGGCAACTTTTTTTTGAGATCCCTGCTCCCAGAATCCATCCAAATTCTGCCTCTGACCACGGCCTCTTTGAAAATTTGTCTCAACTCTCTAAAGAATGTAATTTCCCCCCCACAAACTTAATAACTGTTAACTGTCAGTGTTCACCCTAAGGCCTTAAAAACTGGCTGCCCCAGCAGCTAAGGGCTTAGGACTTGGCCAAAGGCTTAGGTTTCAGAGGCTTAGCCTTGTTCAAGGCCTTAGACGTCCAAAAAAGGAAATATTTTATGCCAGTGGCCCAAAAACGATTAGGAAATCATAACAAAGATATGCTAGTTGACCTCTGGAACATTAATCTCAATGACAGTATCATTGAGGGTCTCATCCTTTGCCTCCAGCTTGATATCACATATATGTAGCACTTGGTGTCAGTGAGCTCCTGCTATGACCTTGATTGTGTGGGGGAGTGAACAGCTTTTAAAGTGATATTGGGACTAAAAACAAGCAGGCCCGAACGGCCCAGTGGCCTGGCGGCCCAACCCGAACCGCGACATTAGCGGTAGCGGGAAGAGTGGACGCGTGGTGATGCACATCTCGCATGTGATTGCAGGACCGACCGGAGCCCGGGTTAGGGCTGTGCTGGAGTGGTGTATATATAGCATGGTCTGCGTGCATATCAGGCACACTTTTATTTCCCTGGTTCCCTTTGTACCCTTCATAGCGGTCAAGCTATTTGTCTCAGGCACTCTATCGGGAGTGTGCGGCATGGTTTATCAGCGCCGATTTCTGACAGTTGAGCCTCCCCGGCACTTCACCAGCAGTTATCTTGGGAATCTTAAGGTAGGAAATATATCCTCCATTTCATTCTTCAATTATCATGCATGCTGCAACTATTAGGGATGCCACCCGTTGCCGTCACGGCAACGGCCGTCGATTCAACGGGTGGTCCACGGCAACGGCCGTAGATCTTACGGCCGTCAGACACACAACGCAAGCCCCTGACGGGACGGGACGGTTAACGGGACGGCCGTAACGGCAAGCGGAACGGGTCACGGTAATTTTATTCACAGTAATGCAATAGGTAAATCTTTAACCAGCAATTTCAATAACCGCATTCCGCGCAAAGTCGAAGACGTTGCTTGACTAGCATCAACGTGCTAATGGT